CAGGACGAAGTTTTCTATTCTATTCTATCCTGTCCTGCGAAAATCCCGTCCTGCCGCTCACAGGACAGGACAAAAATTCTAGTCTCGTCCTGCAGGACAGGGCAGGACACCAGAACAGCGGTACCGTCCTGTCCTGTTCTCATCTCTGATTCGAGTGTTGGTAAACGTTGATAAAAATGGTTATCTTTATATGCATGACAGTTATAGAATTTGTTTTCTTTGCGAAATTTGATCCGTTACTCGATAAAATACGATCATAAGAAATAAGGATGCTACGGTAATGATTTTCTAATACTTGGCCATTATCGGTATACGAAAATTTTTTATGATAATAGCCATCTTGTTCAAATAGTTGCTAACAAAAAAAACCAATTTGAAACGTGTACAAAATTTTATGCAAATGCTTGTGTAACTATAATTTTTCTATATTAGCTTGTATTTTGCCAATCCTATAGCTTTTGACAAGAACAATTAAAAATTTATTTATTTATACTATGTTGTAGAGCATGTTTCGATAGATCTACTGGCATTATCCAATAGATTTTGACGCTACATTTTTGAGACAAAATATAGATGTTATCCTAATTGATGACAAAAAAGTCATTACAGATATTTCATCAATGTATGGGATGTTGAGAAAATCATGCTTCGGCAGTCTCTAATCCACTTTCACATCAAAAGAATATGTGTAAAGATTACGTCAAAAAACGAACTTTCAGAATATATATGACTTTGATGAAATTTCATTGGATGACAGAAAATATCTTCTATAGCATGTTTTTTTTATTTTCATCAATCTACCATTCATTTATTTTGCTATATAATCCGTACATAGCGTTGCAGTTTATTTTAAGTGGTCAATCGTTCTCTACTACAATTTATTTACTATGGAACTAATTGATAGATAATCAATTATGGCAAACTAAGACTAAAAAAAGCATTAAAATGTCTTGCAGCCATTGACAGCTAATCGAATAGAGTAAAGCGAAGTAGTAGCACAAATGTACAGTACATTTCGTTTCACACCACCACCAAAGCATATATTAGCAACAAGTTCTGGTACACGAATTCTACCCAGTAAGGTACCTGTATTTGCATCGTAACACGAGACTCCATCACCAGCACTTGTCCAAATATGTCCCGTTGAATCGACACGTAATCCATCATAGAGTCCAGTTGAACATTCAGCAAAAACTTCTCCACCAGTCAATGAGACACCATCTTCACCTACACTAAAAACACGAATATGTGCTGGTCCATCTTTTGGTCGATGAGTTCGTCCACTGTCAACAATGTATAAACGTCGTTCATCAGAAGAGAAAACTAGTCCATTCGGTTGTTCAAAATCTCGTGCTACCACATGTAATTTACCATCTTTCAGACAATAAACAAAATTTCCTCCAACTTCATTTTCTCCTCGATCACCTTCGTAATCCGAATCAATACCATATGTAGGATCTGTAAACCAGATCGATCCATCCGACTTAACAACAACATCATTGGGACTATTAAAACGTTTATTATTTTCGGCACGATCGATTAGCACAGTTATTGTACCATCATGTTCTGTTCTTGTTATACGTCTTGTCTGTTGTTCACATGTTATTAAACGACCTTGACGATCAACTGTATTACCATTAGCATGATAAGAAGGCGAACGAAAAATACTTGTTTGTCTATTACATTCATCATAGCGTAGTAGTTGATTTTCTGCCACATCAGAAAAGACAAGTGTACGTAAAGCAGGAAAATATGCCGGACCTTCAGCCCATGTCAAACCAGTATATAGGCGATGAAGAGTACTTGTAGTGGACACCAAATTAAGAAAGGAATCGTGGTATATGTCAAACACTCCTATAGTCTTCACTGACATTTTTTAATATATTTTCTTATCTTTGATCGACACTTGCACTCTTCACAAGCGTATAGAGAGAGAACAAGACAGAAGGTACGAGAAAACCGAAATAAGACACCTTTTTACGATGAGTTGACAAAAAGAGACATAAGAACAAAGGATTATAAATTCAAGAGAAAAGAACGAACAATAAAGTTTGTTTTCTAGAATAGTCTCTTAAAAGAATATAGATGGCGTAGTCAACGCATTGTTATACGAACATGAAATACATTCCATTTTTTTTGTTGTTCAACTGATAGATCCTTTTGATACGATCACTGAAAAATTCGTAGTTAATAATATGAAAATGTTCATATGAGATAATTATATTGCTCATATAAATTTGAGTCAATTGAAAAGATTTCAATGGATTTAAGTTGTTATCATTAAATGTATTGTTTGCTATTGATGTTTTTATAAAAATTAATAAATTATTTGGATATAAATTGTATCAATAGCAATTCGCATTAGTGCCTTAACTTTTTTGTAGATGATGAAAATATGTGAAAATTTGAATATTATTAGAGTAATTGTGTGTTATTATACATTTTGGATTCTTTTTGATGTGCTTTTCGATGTTTCATTTTTACTCTTGATGTTTTCTGTAGTTTTTTCGAATTCTTCACCTTTTGTTCAATTAATTAATAGACATTAGAATATAATGCGAAATCAGTTGAGAAATTACTCGAAAAAAGATGTGTTTATGTTGATGTTTTAAAATCTGAGTCTTTTCATTGAAGACATCTTCACCAAAAATATTAGTTTGATATGTATATTCATTAGAATTTTTTGAGAAGAAAACGAGATAACCTTATTCAAGATGATATCAGCATTTCGATATAGATAAGAATACAGCAAAAAAGCAACACCGAAACTTTATCTATTATGATGGCTTAATTTATTCACTTAGTATCTGAATATTGTTGATATAGAGAGACGGTCTTTTCTTTTTATAAACGAACATTAAGATAGTTGTTTATCATGTTAACTAATCGATAGATTATTTTGAAAAATACTTAGAGAAACTTTCTGTATTGTGTAAATTTAGATCAACTACATTGATAGTGATATTCACTTGTTTATTAATAAGTCGTCATTTTTATTGTTTTGTCTAATTTATTCATTCAGATGTCTTTACGTTCAATTCCAATAAATCCAAATGAAACAAATGCTTCGGAGTCTTTTCCGAAAATCACCATTACTGATATTGATAATGGCTATAGACAACCACCGCCATTACGTACACGTTTATTATGTGAATTAATCGGTACATGTCTTTTCATATTTTTTGGTGCTGGATGTGCAGCAAAGCCACATGATCTTTTGACTGTATCTGCTGCACATGGAGTTGTTACTGTCTGGCTTGTCTATGTATTTGGACCTGTGTCTGGTGGTCATTTTAATGCAGGAGCTACAATAGCCTTTGCTGTCAATGGCAAAATGAAGATCATAGAAATTGTTGGTTATCTAGTAGCTCAAGCAGTAGGTGCTATACTTGCTGGTGCACTACTTCTTTGTCTTTATGGCACTGGAACTTCATTAGGTACACCAGGACTTCAAGAAGGCGTAACGGTTATGCGGGGATTTGCTATAGAATTTATCTGTACAGTAGTGCTTTCATTTGTTATTTTCTTTACTACGTCATATAATTCACATAAAGAGGCAGCTTTTCCCATAGGATTTGTTGTCTTTTCATCGTTTTTGCTTGGTGCTGATCGTGATGGTGCCGCATTGAACCCATGGCGATGGTTTGGCCCAGCTGTAGTTTCAAATACATTTCATTCAACAGCATGGATCTATATAGTTGGTCCTATTGGTGGATTTCTTTTTGGTTATATACTCTTTCGTCTTTACAAGTTACTGTGGAATGGAAGAGCTAGTTTTCAAGCCTAGCTTTATATATTGAAGAGTTTTTTTTTTTTGAATGAATTTTGGTGATAATGATTTTTCTAATGTATACATTTTTTTTTTGCTTTTATCAATAATTAGAAAACACAATATTTGAATAAATAATTCTTTGATATAATATTATCGTTTCTTAATAGTTTGATGGTCATAAATACAACGTAAATGTATAAAACAGAATAATATCTACGTCTATTAAACATATATTGATTGTTGTTGTCGAAAAATTGAATGTTCATGCTCATTTGTTGAATAATTTACAAAGTATTAATTCACTGCAAATATAAATTAAAAATGCATGGGATACTTGTAATAGTCAAATATAGTGTTTGAATTAGATATAGAATTGTTCAAATCAAATAAATAATGAACTCATACATTAACCTTTCTCAAAAGAATAATCTTTTTTATGATTTTCAGATATAGGATCTATATTTGGTGGAAATTGAGAATGAATATGAAGTAAACTATGTATTGTTAAAAACTCATATGTTATCATCAGTGTTGAATGAAGAAAATTAGCAATAATAAATAAATAAATAAATACTACAAATAAGACTATATTTTGCCATTAAGTATTATAACGTCCTAATATACTTATTAAAAAGAAAGACTTATATTTAATTGAGCAATAATGAAATTTAGCAATAATTATATAGAATGAGCAATAATTATACTGAAAGTGCAATAATTTATTTAAATTAAAAGTAAATTTTATATAAGATAGATTTTAAATAAAAAGGGTGTTATAGTGTGACTCGCTTATATATCTTTTTTTCTCTTCTACGATGTCGTACACATGACAAGTACGACATACATATGCCGGGGTTGACTTTAAAACATTTCAAAATCAACTAGTTGCCTTTTAAATTCAATTAGTTGAATTTACAATTTATTTTGAACTCGACTAATTGATTTTAATATATTTTAAAGTCAACTAGTCGCCTTTGAAAGGAGACCAAATTTTAAAATCAACTCTGACATATACATATATCTTTTGTTTTCCCTCTCTTTTTTTCTTTCCGTCACTTGAATATTTCTCTTCTCTTGATGTTGTTCAGATATATTCCCTTCTTCGTCATGTTTTCTTTCTAGTGTTTGGTTTTTTTCCTAGCTCATTCATATATATACAGTTACCATTTCTCAAATAAAGTAGTAGTTCAGTATTAATCTGTTAGATCAATCACCCGTTAACAAAGAGCAATATGAATTCATTTATATATACAAATACGTAGTTTTTTCAACTTTACACAATAAAATATAAAAAGAAAAAGAGACAGATCATCTAAAGAAAAAAAAAGCTCTATTCACACAATAATATACTAGTTTTTCATTTTTCTTTTGTTTTCAATTGTAAATAACTTTTTTATTTCTCTAATTCATATAAAATAATGTAGTTTTTCTTTGTTTTATTGCTAAAATATGAAATTACTACTGCTACTTAATGAATTAATTATTGTACATTTAATAATATAAAATTACTCAAATGAAGCTTTTTTTATTGCTTAAAAATTATTGCTAAATCGTATTTTAATTATTGCCCATTGCAGTATTTTTATTGCTCAAATAAATACTAACCAAAAAGAAAAAGAGTATGTGAAGCATTAATTCGCCAAACTATACTTATTAAAATAATAAGATAAATAATTACCTACAACATATGTATATATCGATCAGATTCTTATAAGAAACAAATAAGAACCTATCTTACGATGTAATCTATTTCGTAGATCACTCCAAAGTCATTAGTGCTTAGAATAGATAGAAGAAAATTTCATTAAAATATGTAAAAAAAACATTCGTTAAAAACGAAGCAAATTTAGTATATATTGCTATATAATAGAGACAAATTAATCAATAGAATGTTTCTTCTAAAAATATCATTGACTGATATAACTTTTTATGATTATAGCAGAGTTTTTCGCTTTATAGACATTACTATAGTCCTAAATGACGACATCTTTTGTTGAGCATTGTACAGAAGATCTTTGCTAGGATACTCATTTAGCACCTTTGTTCGCACTATTGCTAGTATACGGCATTAGAACGACGATCGAAGACTAACCAACTGTTTAAGTATTAATCAGCCGATGACTAACTCTGGTATAGCGTATATGAGATCGAACGATTTACGAATGATTTTTATCCTGTTCGAATGTTATGAGTAAGTACTCATTTGTTTTATTGAATATGAAGAAAAAGAAAGTATCATCATTTGAACGGGTCTTTGAAATCGATTTCCAAGTTAATGACACTTGTTTAAAGTCGACATAGACCAAATGGATACATTGCTATGAATATGGCAAAACATATAAGTAGAGAAATAGTAGTAATCAATGCAGTAATGATAATAATTGCACGATTAACAAATTTTAATGGATGAAAAGATTGTTTACTTGATGAAAGATTTCTATAAATTAATTGATCAAAATATTCTAAAGAAACTTCCGATGTATTAGCTCCTAATTGATAATAACATATTGAAGTTTTTATTTGACCTTGTATTTTATATAATTGTTGATGATATTGATTACATTTTCCATTTGAAGATATAAATTGTATTGAATATCGACAAAGACTATAGTTCATTAATTTAAAAAATAAATAAAATTCTTCATTTAATTTTGAATTTTCATTTTTCATCATGGTTAAATTATAATGGCATTGAAATGATATTATTTGTGTCAATGTACCATTCTCAGATGTATAACGCGTTTGGTAAGAAGTTGTTTGATAATGCTGAAAATATGAATTATGATGATTGATAAAACATTTTGGTTGAAGATTAGCTATTGAATATTCAGAAACTTGATTATAAAAAGAAGTTAGCGTACGATTATATTCAAGATATAAACGCCCATCAGGACATTGAATAAAGAATTGAAATAAACTGAATTGTTCATATTGTTCTGATTGCATGCAAGTTGAATAAATACTAGTAGTATTATTCAATGATTCGATTTTACCATTTGGACATCTAAGAAATATTTGATCAGCATGAATAAAAATTGGAAAATTTTCACTATAGAGAAATTTTATATAATTATAAGTAAAAACAAGAAAAAACCAATGCTTAACAATCACCATAATCTGAATGACTACTACACAAATAACACTTTTATACAGATTGAAACAATTAACTAGTATCTGAATTCATTTCATTCATTGGATAATAAAACAATACGATAATTGATTACAGATATCCACACTTTTGTTTGTCTCGTTAATATTCAATACCAATGAGTCACATATTAAGAATAGTGCTGTAATTGTGAATAGAATTAAAAGACGTTATAAAAAAAAGAGTGACTTGATTTTGGGCATAGAACAAGATTAAGTTTTTATCTTCATGTATAACCTTATAAATAGTATTAATAAGAGAAAAGTACTTTTGCTCATTAATTTTTATTCAAGCTGTGATTTTTCATCATTTCTTGTCGAGTGTTTTTACACAATGCACTCGAGTCCTTATTTACATTCAGTACTTATTTTCCAGAGATCAAACAGATTAATGTATGATCAATGAAATACGTGAATGGTGTGCATGTATCTGTAGGAAAACTACATATTCATATAATTTTATTACTTCCTAGATTAATACTGTAATGCATATGTATGGATGCTTTGTACACTATACTTTGATTCGTATCTAGGTCAACGACCAGATCTCATCGAGTTTAAATCTACAGAGTAACAGTGAAGGTATCAATGAATGTGAAAAAATCTGATGATCAAAAATATTTCCATCCTATTGTTGAAGAATATCAAAATGTTTTTAGTTTTTCTTCATTTTTTGAAGGTTACAAAAATAGTTATAAAAATACTTTTACAAAAAAAAAAAGAAAACATAAATTCACTCGTTAATAGATAAGAAAATATTTTGTTCAAATTTCAATTGATCCTTGGGATGAGAAGATGAATAAAATGACTATTATAGAAGATTTACTTTTACTGTAAGGTTTCGATTTATTTACTAATATTATAGACGATAGCTATATGAATTTGTAAAGAAGAAGAAAAAGTAATTATTCAACGATGTTTTTTATATGAATTTCAACTCAAAATAATCAAACAAAATTTGTTATGCATATTTAAATATGTAAAAAAAAAAAAATGAAATGTTTTGTAACGTTAATACAAAATGTATTTTTCTTATCGATCTGTTAATATTTTATGTCTATAGCATTTATTTAATCACATTAATAATATTGATCAATTAATGTAATTAATTTTATATTCAATCATCTTTATTATTTATGTGAAATCGTTTTTTTTCAATAAACAAAATTTTTTGTATTCTTATGTTGCTCGTTGAAACGTTAACATAAACATTAATCTTTTACATTCTCGCCATCAATAGTATCTGTATGTATGTGTAAAAAATAAATGTTTAGGTATAGCAATGATTGCTTTTATCAAAATAGCAACGATAGTTTTTTTGTGGATTCTCGAACGCAAACAAACTGCAAATTTATGTAGGACGATCGATAAAAAAAGAAATATTTATTTTTGTTGAACTATTTCTGCCAACAGATTGGAGACTGTTTAAACGAGAAGAAGAAAATTTTCTCTCTTTCTGTGTTTTTTTTTACGTCAAATAAATAAATGTTATTAGATCAAATAGTAAAAAAAAAATAAAAATCAGATACCTATGTTAAATATTGCTTAATATATAAGAACATGATTTATTTTATTATATAAAATTGACGTTCTTTCTTTTTTTTTATTCATTAAAGATCAAGATGTGGAAACGAATCAACAATGTTCCCGATAAGGTGAGAAAGGAAGTATATTGCTATTAAAAAATAATTATAAGACACTTATGCCAAGTATTTTTTCCTTTTTTGACTTATCAAAATTGTTCCCTACTTTAATATTTGTAGTATGAATGTGTTGATCTCGTCAATATTGAATACTATAGTGATTATGCACAAGAATATTAAATATGAATTCTATCTCGAATGTATTAATAATTTCATTCATTTAAGAACTTTAATAATAAATAAATATAAATCATGAACTTCATTCTTACTCTTCAATAGACAGATCAAATATATTAAATATTGATAATTTGTAACATAAATACTCATTGTGAATTATAATTAATTCTATATCATGTCCGATAATGTTTTTCATTTGAATTATTTATACTAGAATAGTAGTCAATTTTCATAGGAGATATATGATTAGATTGTTAAACACGTTGCTCTAGTAAAAATATCACTGTTTTTAAAAATTAAAATTATTACTTTTGAATATAAGCTACATGTATAAAATCTTTTCACAACACATCTGATAAGTTTTATTTCATTTATAAGTCAATGATGAGAATAAGAAAATAATTAGCTTCATTCTCTTTGTAAGTATGTATTAAGAAATATTTTTTGTTTTTTGTGACTTAAAACTAGTTCATTGAGAACAAAATCTTTGATGAATTTGTTCATTTTTTTTTGATATCTAGATTTGACTTATGATTTATCATCTGTGAACAAATATCTAAATAAATCAAAGATGTTATTTGCACTAAGCAAAATAGCCTTTTTTTCTCTTATTCATAATGTTTCTAATTGAGATTTTAGGATAGCTTTCTCTTTCAAAGGTTGTACAGAATTTAATTTTCTACTAAATTATACATTGTAACAAGCTAGAACTTGAAAGAAAGTCATTTCTCTTCGATTTTCGGTATTTAAAATCTAATAGATTTCGGTCGTTTTCAGCAATACGTACAAAGAAAACAGATATTTTCAATAAACTAAATTTGAGCCAGAAAAATTTTGAATACATAGTTAGAAAGAGCATAGAAATTTTGATTCTAACTGATTATTGTTGATTCTCTTGAATGACTCATAAGTCGAAGAAAATTGACTTGACATATTCTACAAACATATTTTACATATAAGCTAGACCACAATTGAATCAAACTCGGATTTAAAAAGTTTCTGAACTAAATCTGAAAATTTTCAACTCGTCCGACTCTCGTCTTAAGTGAATACCATTAGAACTTTCGAAAAACGTTTAATTTGAGAAGTACTCATCTATGAAAGATATCATACATGTTCCTACGAAGGATAGAAAATTTTTAGCATTTCTTTACTAATTTCAAAGTTATTAGCGACCATTCTCTGTATTTTTTCATCTGCTTCTATTGGAATATTTATGAATCTGAAAATTCTTCAACAGAATACAAGATTTTTCTTTGTTTCACAAAGCACTACATTTATTATTTTGGTCTTAATATATGTGAATTTGATGAATGTTGTTCGACAATGCATTCAAATATGAATTCAACAAGTTTTTTTATTTAAAAAATTTTGAATTTTCGTTTAAGTTCATCTATTCTCTCTTTATACTTTTCTGATCATGCATTCCGAAGAGCTTGATTGTAGTCAGTGATGTTGTTTTTTTTATTTGAAAGAACATATGAGCTACAGAACTTGTTTTTTATTTTTTGAAATAAGATTTTTTTTATTATTATTTAAGAAAGCATTTCTGTATATAGATAACGCCTTTCCTGAGTTTTTTTGATTGTTAAACTTGATGTACTTTTTTCTCCGGATGAAAAGTAGGACTCTAAATAAAAGGCTCTGCCAGGCATTGCACTCTGGCATATTCTTTCAAATAAAAATAAAATTAAAACTATAAAAGAAAAGTTCACAGAGAATTTTCAGTTGCCAAAAGAACTATTTTTCATCTTTGTTTGTTACATATCTCCCGAAAACATTATGATATAGAACTGTAAATTTCATACAATTTGTTTGTTTGATAATCATTAAAATATTCTTTTTTTTTTTCATTTCAAAATATTACACATAGAATCAAGTAGAATAGTCGAATTTTCAGTTAGTTCACCTTGAGATGAACTATTTTTCGATTTAATGTAAGATGTGTTTGTGACGTTATTCATAACAAACAATGAACAGTAGTTTCAGCATATTAGACAGAAATAATGAAGAGAAGAGGAAGAAAAACATAGTGCACGTGTACTCATTGAAAAGGTGTTAGAATAGCAATCGGAGGCGTAAAAAACAATGTTAAAGTTCAGAGTAAAGAGATGTTCGCCTATGGGAAATGCATTTCTAGCAAAAATCGCTTTATGGAACCAGGATCTGATTTACAATTAAAGGTATTTACTAATAGAAGTTTTATTGTATATTGTTCATTTTCCTATGTTCATATTTCATTGATAATAATCATCATCGTGATTACCTAGTATTGCTTAGCAATTTCTTTTTCAAATTATTTGTTTGCATGTCATGCGTACAATCATCAAAAGAAAAGAAAAAGAATAAAGCAAAGCCACTTACGATTTAAACTGATTAAAAAGTTCTCTTTTTATGTTTGCACGTTCTGTATTCGTCATCTCAATTTTGTCTTAACACTAAAAAGCTTCTCTTGACAGGGCATTTTAGCAACTGAAAACAATTATGCACCTTTCATATGTCGATAACAAAACGACTGTTGACATCTTTGCTCATTTTTTTTCTCTCTTTTCGAGTACTTTGATTGACAGACATACATAGTGAGAATAATAACTAAGAAAGCAATACTGGAACATTGTGGGTCAACATACAACAAACAGAAAATTTTTAAATTGGCATTAAGGATTATTTTTCAAAGTTTTCAATTGCAATTGTAAGATGACATTTCTTTTACTGCATTATTTTTATTAATACAGTGTTAAAATATGCAAAAAAAAATTGATGTCATGTATTTTGTTTTTTCTTTTTGTTTTTATGAAAAGACTCATGTGAATATTTTTTTATATTCATAGAATACATCAATATCAGAGAAAAAAATGCGTTATTTTATATTTTATCCACCAAGTAAAACACTAAGATTAATTGATGTTAATGAAAATGATCGTGTTGAAGATATTCTTGAATTAATTAAAAAAGAATATGGTCTTAAGTATCCTGATCATGGTTCATCTGAAACAACAATTGTTCTTAGTTATAATGGTAATGATCTTAAATCAAAATGGACTTTTGGTGATTTAAATATTTCATCAGGATCAATTATTCGTTGTATATCAAAACAACAAACAGCAGCTGATCTTTATATTCATTGTGGATTTAATAAACAAATAT